TTTTTTATAATATTTTTTATTTTTTATAATATTTTTTATTTTTTATAATATTTTTTATTTTTTATAATATTTTTTATTTTTTATAATATTTTTTATAATATTTTTTATAATATTTTTATAATAGGTCATTTCTGCCCCATAGGTAAGAAAAAATATTTTGATCAGGTCTTGCTGTGCCTTCTGCGAGTTCTTTTTATGTATATTTTTTTAATAAATATAGGAACTGTGGAACCATTATCTTGTCATTATATGGCCTATTGTCCACCCGGATCATCATTTGCCAATAAATATTTAATTGGAGTTTTAGTAGCTGCCATAATATTATTAATCTTAATATTATTCCAAATCAAAAAGAGAGCGGATGACGAAAAGAACAAAAAATATAAGAGATTATTAGTAGAACCCAGAATTGAAAATAGTGAAAAACCTTTAGATCGCGTTTCACAAACATTTGATATTGAATTTGAAAATTTAGGTTTAGTTTTACCTTCTGGTGTCGAAATTATGAAGGTGATTTTTTTAATTTAATAATGATTCATATTTCATTATATCATTCTACTGCTTTTTTTCCCTTTCTTAATAATCCAATTTATTTTTTAAGGGAGTTTCAGGATCACTTGTACATGGTAGAACATGTGCGATCATGGGTCCATCTGGTTTGTTATTTAAATTTCTTTAAATATCTATAAAAAATTGTTAATAAATATTATAAATTTTTATATAACCTTTATATTTTGTTATTTGTTTTTAGGTTCTGGTAAAACTACATTAGTTTCCCTTTTGACGGGAAAAGTAAGAAAAACAAATGGAAAAATAAAAGGTATATAATATATACTCAATTATTATACTTAATAATTCTAAATTATACTTGATAATAATGCTAATAAAATTTACGTGCGTTTATTACATAGTTAATGGAATTTCAAGGCCTCTAGATTATTATAGAAAACTTATCGGTTTCGTACCTCAAGAAGGTTGATTAATAATAATATTCATTTCATATGAAATTAAGAAAAATAAAAATAAATAAATATTAATTTAATTTTTAATTTAGATATAATGCTTAGAGAGCTAACGATACGCGAAATTTTGGTGGTATGTAAATCTTTTATCTAATATCTAGAATTAATTTTATCTAAATTTATTAAAGTTTATTTTATTTACTTTATAAAAAATCAAAATTATCTAGCATTCCGCACTAATGCGTTTACCAACCGAAATGAAACGTGAGGAAAAGAAACAAAAGGTTATTGATGTTATTAAATTTTTGGAATTGAGTCATGTAATGGATACCGCTATTGGCGATGAAGGTAATTTCCATTCTTTATTTTATATTAGTGAAAAAAAGAGGAAAATATTTTTTAAATTAAAAACAAATTCACCTAACAGAGTCACGAGGTATATCGGGTGGTCAAAGGAAACGCACAAATATTGGAATGGAACTTGTAGCAGAACCATCTGTCCTTTTCTTAGTAAGATTCATAAAAATTATCATTAAAATTAAAAAATTATCATTAAAATTTTAATTTATTGAAATATTTTTTTTAAATTATTTTTAGGATGAACCAACATCGGGTTTAGATTCAACAACAGCATTAGAAGTATGTAAATTATTGAAAAAAATTGCGAAGCATCAAGGAATTACAATTGCAGCCGTAATTCATTCACCATCAGAAAAATCTTTTAAAATGTTTGATGATCTTATGTTGTTGGGTAAAGGAGGAAGAGTTGTATATTCTGGACCTCGGAATGAAGCAATGAAATATTTTAATGAACTTGGATTTGTTCTTCCTGAAGATGAAAGGTATTTTGGAAATAATTATTTGAAATTTCAAATGATTTCAAATAATTTTATTAATAATTTCAATAATTTCATTCATTTATTTTTCTAGTGAACCTGATTTTATTATGGAAATAGCATCAGGAAGAGGTATAAACAAATAATAATATATTTAATATATATATTTCAATTGCAATAATTACTGTATTGTATTTAATATATATAATTTTTTTTCTTATTAGTAAAACCAAAAGACAGTGATTTAAGTTTAGAAGATCTTTATTATGAATGGGCATATCAATCTCAGAAAAAAAACAGAGCTTCATCAGTTTATAGTAATAGTGTTTCTAATGATTATCAAGGAGTAATAATTAATATTGAATCATCAACATTAAGATCTGGATTTGCAACAGGATTTTGTGCACCAATTTATCAAATTATACATGATTCCTATCAATATGCGATTGATATTGGAATAGAATTTTCTTATTTTCTTAAAGGATTTATTTTTTGGACGAAAGATCCCGTTCGTCAAACACCAAATATTTTTATATCATTTATACTTTTATTTAAAAGAGCATGTTTACAAATTTATCGAAACAAATCAAGATTTATGTTTGATCAATTATTACATCTTGGTTGCGGCTCATTTGTTTCTTTGGCAACAAGTAGCCTTTATTATGTTGGACGAGCACCTAATCCGATATGTTCTATAGCGCCTTATATCGACGTAGCACGTTGTTTAACGCCGAGTGATACACTTCAGGTATAAAATAAATATAAATATTTATTTATTATAAAAAAAAACAAAAGGGATTAAATTTTGTTTATTTCTTTTTAGACTGTAGGAGTATTTGTGGCCTTGGGAGCAACATTTTGTGGCATCAATGGTAAATTTATATAAAATATATATTTAATATAATAACTTAATTACAATATTTTATATAAGATTGATATTAATATTTAATTAATTAAAATTATTATTATTTTTGATAGCTGGAACAGCAACATTTGGATATGAAAAAGTTGTATATTGGCGTGATACATCTTCAGGAATGAAAACCATACCTTATTTCTTAGCAAAAAGTATTGCAGACATTCCAAGGATATTAATAGCTGGGCTAATGTTTTCATTAGCATTTATATTATTCTATTCATATCGATCACGTTTCAGTGAAATTTATATTATTGTTTTACTTACTTATATTGCGGCATGGAAAATGGGTAAATTATTATATATTTAATATTATTTATCTTTACGTTTGTATCTTTATATTATTCTAATATTTTTAATATTAAAATGTAATGTGATTATTTCTAGGTTATTTCTTATCCGCTATTTTTTCAAAAGAGAAATTAGGATTAGTTAGTACGGGATTTGCTCTTGCTTTTGGTATGGTTTTAAGTGGGGCAACTCCTAGATTGGATATGGTTAAAGCAGATAATAGCTTGAAGTGGATTTACTGGATTTTTGATGTAATTTATTTTCCAATCCATCTTCCAATTTATTTTTAATTATGTTATTATTTATTTATTTTATTTATTTATTTTATTTATTTATTTTATTTATTTAGATTTCTGCACCAAGGTGGTCTGTTGAAGCAATATATCTTAAAGAATTAGATCCAGGAAAGTATGTATTATAATATTAATAAATAACTTTTAATATTTCTTTAATTTCTTTAATTTCTTTAATTTTAAATTTCTAAAATTCTAAAAATTTTAATTAGATGGATTGAAATTCATACAGAAAATCTAAGATTTACGTATAGCTTTGACGATTATCCAAAAGCTTTGTATAATATATTACTTATTGCATTGGCGTGGGCATGTTTAGCATTTTTAGCAATGAAATTGGTTAACCGAGATAAACAAAAATAATTATAGATTAATTTATATAAAAAATTTCATTTTAATTTTTTCCCGTTTTTTCGGTTTACGCAATATGTAGTTATAGCATTTAAAAATCTAATATTTGTAGAAACCTGTAACTAAAAAAAAAACTTTTACTCTTTCATAGTGTCTTTTTTTGCTAATTAATAAGTGACAATTTATGGATGATAATGATCATGCGGCATTATATGAATCACGTGAAAAAGAAATTTAAACAATTTTTTTTTTATTTTGCTAAAATTGATAACTATGATTTCGATACATTCGTTTCGCCCAATTTTTTTGATCCCGTCAAAATGCCTTTATTATTATGCTGCAAAAAAATGTTTAATACAAAACTGTACTTTTTCATCTGGTATTCTTTTTTTTAATATAAATTGCATAAATTATCAATTCGACAATCGATTTTTATTATTATTTACTCTTAAATCCTTTTTTTTTTTTTTTGAATATATTTTTTTATATAGTAATTACTAAACCTATATCATCGTTTAAAGGTTCTTTATTGAATAATAAGGTTATTGAAAGATTAGAAAAATTAAATACTCGCCATACTGTTTTATCAAAAGAATTAAATAGACAAGTAATAGTAATTAAAAATTCGAATAAAAAAATTTTATTTTTGTTTCGTAATCATTAATTATTAAAATTATTAATATCATTTATTTTTAGTCTTTAGATGTAATTGATCCTGATTTTCTTGCCCGTAATTCTAAAGAATTATCAGACCTTTCATCTATAGTTATTCCGTATCAGGAAATGAAAAAAACTCAAGGTGTTTGGGATCTAACTATTTAAATTTATTCTAAAAATAAAAAAAGTATATATATATATATATATATTTATTTATTTATTTATTTATATACATATAAAAATGTATGCACATAAAAAACAGGAACTTGAAGAAATCAATACGATTATTGGCGACAAATTAGGAGATGAAGACTTTAAAAAACTTGCTTATGAAGAATATCAAGAAACCATAGAAAAGTTAAAAAGTTTAGAGCAATCTGTCATAACTGCGTTATTACCTAAAGATGATATTGATGAAAAAAATGCAGTTTTGGAAATCCGTGCAGGTAGGAAATTATTATGCATTAATAAAATACTTTAAATAGTTTAATTAAATATGTTAAACGTATTAGATATAATATTAAACATACAGAATACTTCATTTAGGTACCGGAGGTGAAGAAGCGGCATTATTTGCAGCTGATATATTAAATATGTATGAAAGATATGCTTTATTGTGTAAATGGAAGTTCGAAAAGTTATCAATAGATGAAGATTCTTTAGGTGCAATAAAGGTACTTTAAACAATTATGAAACAAACTGAATCGAATATAATTATTATATAGAATTATTAATTGGTAATTTTAAGAATTTTTAAATAGGGAGTTACCGCCTCAATATCAGGTTTGGGAGTTTTTGGAAATATGAAATATGAATCAGGGGTACATCGAGTTCAAAGAGTTCCTACTACAGAAAAAGCAGGACGTGTGCATACAAGTACTGTCACTGTAGCAATATTACCTGAACCCACTGAGGTAACTATTTAAATGATTTTATCATATGAATTAATGTTCAAGTTTTTTTTTTTTAATAGAAAAAAAAAATAATTTAGGCTGATATTAATGTTCGAGAATTAGACTTAAGAATTGATACTTATCGATCTAGTGGTAAAGGGGGTCAACATGTGAATACTACTTCTAGTGCTGTCCGTATAACGCATATTCCAACTGGAATCGTTGTTGCAATACAAGATGAACGATCCCAACCAAAGGTTAAAAATTTTACTTTTGAATAATACCTAAATAAGTAGATAAATAAAATTTATTCTTTTGAATTTATTTTTAGAATAAAGCGAAAGCTCTAAAGATTTTAAAAGCAAGATTATTCGATACAGAACGTAATCGGGTACATCAAGAAAGAAGTAATGCGCGTAAACAACAAGTGCGTTTATCTATTAAATGTATTTATAGTAAATAAATAATTATTACATATGTATTATATATATTTATTTATTTATTTTTACATTTTTTTTCTTAAAAAGGTTGGAACTGGCGATAGATCAGAAAAGATTAGAACCTATAATTTTGCACAGGTATTTAGAGAAACTATTGGATGTTCAAGTTTTTTTTTTTTTTTTATTTTCACTAACCATCTTTATATTTATAGAATCGTGTCACGGATCATCGAATAAATTTATCATTACACGAATTAGAAAATGTCTTAAATGGAGAATCTCTTCAAACCATCATGGATGGATTAAAAATATTTTACCAATCTGAGGCTTTACAAAATGAGAATTATTAAAAAATATTTATCTGTCATTATTATTGTTATTATTTCCCTTCTAACCATTTCCATTTTTTATACAAATTAATTTGTTATCCATTCAATCACATGGATATCATATGAATCACACTAATTACACTAATTACATCGAAACAACTCGAACTATTCCCTTAGTAATATATGAATCTAAAACTTCTGATTTTCCCATATTTTTTCCTCTTACGAATATTAAAGGTTTAGTTTTTAATCTTTTTTCACAATTATCAAGAAATTTTTTCAATGAATTTTCGCTATAAGTCCACTTTTCATGATTTAAACAAAGTCTTTTTAAATCTATTGGTATATTCTTTCCTATTTCTATCAAAATCTTACTAATTTCTTCAGTTTCTCCAATAAAAGTTACACATTTGAGAGCCGAACAGGATGCAAGTAAAAATGGTATCCTATTAATTACATCATTTGGAATTCGTAGAATTAATTGTTTCAAATTTGGACATGTTTCGGCTATTGTTTTAATTAATGTGGTGAAATTTTGTGGGTCTATGGGAATTCCAAAATGTAAACTAATTTGTTGTAAATTTCCATTTGTTTTGCGAATTAGAGATGAAATTTGTAAAAGATTTCGATCCTTTAGTGTTAAATCCAATATTTTTAATTTGGTAAAATTTGTAAAACTTGAACTAAATTGTTTTGTTGTTATTGGATCTACTTCCATCACGGGACTAAACCTCAAATCGTCACACAAAGTTAATTCTTGAATATTTGTCACACCACCAAATATACTAAGTGGAATGTGATCATGACAATATATGTGGATCGTTCGTAAATTTTGAACTTTTTTATGTAAAGATTTCGAAATTAATGATAATGATTCTGTGGTAGTTATTGTAAATTCTTGAAGATTATTTTGAGCTTCAAATAATTTTTTTAATCCTTCATTTCTCTCAAATCCATCTCGAATATCTAGAACTTTAAGTTTATTAGAAATTTCTGCTATCCTACATAAAATTTCATTCGGAGTTAAACCTATTAAAGAAAAAAAAAATAATTTAAAAGTTTAACAAGTAAAATAAACAAAGTTAAATAAAAATATTTCAAACAATAAGAAAGATTTAAAAAATTATTAAAGATTTAAGACTTAAATATAAGTTTTAAGAATTAATAAGGATTTCAGATTTAAGAAAAGATTTACCGAAACATCTCAACTCTTCTAAATGCGACAAACAAATATTGGCATTAGGTAGATCGCATAATTGAATAAATGGAGTATCTCGCAAATAATTATCTGCAAAGATATATGTGAGTCCATGTGGAAGAAAACCAAGTTTACGTAATCTACAGTGTTGGAAAAATGAGGTACATAATTCAATTATAACCTTTACTTCTATTGTTTCGATTTCTTTTCGATTTAAATTTTTGTAATTTTTTAATGAAATTTTCAGCCATTGTTTCACAGATGATACTAGAATTAAATAATCAAGATTTCTAAGAAATGACGCGTAATCAAAAAATGCTTTATTGAAAGGTTTAAAAGGTGAAGGTATTATATTCAAATTTTTAAGTGATTTTGGGGATAAACAAGATATATAAGTGTTAATAATTTTGGGACCTCGAGAAATCATTTCTCTTTCTTCTGATAAAAATTCAAATGGATCCTGCCATATCAAACCAACTGAGTTAATACACCATAATTTATTAACTAAAGCACAATTATTTAATGAGAAAATATCTAAATATTTAAAAATTTCTCGAAAGGTTTCAGTAGGAAGGGAAGGCAACATTTTTATTCGGAATGAAATAAAAAAAAAAAAATAAACTAATCAAATTTTGAAACAATTTATATTCATGAGTCAAAGTCAAACCTTGTGGTTTCCAAACGGGTATTGATTGGTCTGTAAACCGAGATTTGGTTATAAGTGATCTGCTATTTGATTTCTTTTTTGTGATTTTCCTTGCATACCAACATATAACAACATTCATTACACAATCAACCAATTATCATGAGGTTAAGATACACGTTTTCTCGAAAATTTTTAATTTTATTTAAAAAGCCTCCCACAAACGGAAATGAATTAAATAGCAATCTACATAGAACGTATCGAAAGGATTGAACAATAGAAAACCAAATCAATTTTACAAAGACCTCATAAATCACCTAAAGGTAATTATCGTTTGTTTTTTGAAATTTCGTAAAATGTGGCTCGGAATATTTTCGAGTTTAAAAAAAAATGTTCTTTTATCCATGATAATCTTTTTTACAATATTTATTGAATTCATCAAATTTAGCATATCCTGTTTGCTATCATGATATCATTAAAAAAAAAAAAAAAAGAGTTATCAAATTTATCTATTATGTTAAAACTTATTAGCTTTATTAGTAACATTTGTCCCTTATTTATTTAAAAGCCTTTAAGAATTAATTTTTAATTGCCAAGTCATGTGAAATAAAATTTTCACAGCATTATAAGCCACTTTCAATGTTTTCTATTTTAAAAATAATATATACTGAAACAAATGACCTTGCACCAAACATATTTGCGTTTCCTTGAAATTATAGTTTTCAAGTCAGGTAACAAACAAGATCAAATTGAACAAATAGATTTATATCAACAATATACAATAATATACAACAAATATTCTCACGTTTTTCTTTTTGAAAAATCTTTTGTCCTTCTCTACCTTGTGCCAAACGAAGAAAAATTTGTGGCAGCATTGACTTTACCGAAATTCTATATCATAAATTTAGATCCCACTTTGTCATAAATTATCCCTTATTCTTTTAGTATTATTTGAGGTTATTCTTTAAGGTTATTCTTTGAGTATTTATTTTATTTGAGGCTATTTCGTTCGAAATTCTATGGCTCGGATATAAATGCCAGTTCAGAAACTTATCGGAGAAGTCGGGATTACTAGAATAATCCATAATAAAGTATAATAAAGTGTTATAGTATTTTTTTTGAAATTCCGTGTAACATTGTAAAACTATAACTCTCCTATTTCCCGATTGAATTAACCAATTGAATATAATCTATCATTAATACAATGAATTTTGAATAATAAATGATTAACCAATTATCAAAGGACAAAGCCCATTAACGATATAAACGGGTAAACGGAACTACTAAAACAAGGGGTTTTATCCTTTTAATTATCGACCAATTGAATATAATACAAAGTTACATTAACGACATATATTCTAGATTTTTTCTGTTGTTACCTTTATTTTTCAAAAATGGGATAGAATATGAATAGGTGACGGAAAGTTATTAATCTTACTAACTTCTATCAGCAGATAAAAGGTTTATCCTTTAAATTATACTTTTAACATTTTTGCTTATAATTTAGCCAGGTATAAAATGTTTACCATCTTTTAGCCAAGTTCAAAGGTTTATCTTTTAACCAGGTGAAAATGGGTTACGGGATTTATTCTTTAGTTATATTATATATATATATATATATATTTATATTTATATTTATATTTATATTTATATTTATATTTATAATTTAGAATTGATTCAGACACGCATAACTATGTATTTCGTATTTCATAAATGAATATTGTCGTTAAATTCTATATATCGGATGATTAAAGTCACAACTATGGTCACTTGGCCGTGAGGAATTATAAGCCGTAACCATGATTATGTCGTGTTCAAACATACTTCAAACTAAAAGAGTCGAGATTAATGCTTCGTCGATCTTAAATTTATTTGTTCTTAATTAATGTTTAAATATCACGTGCTTAATCAAAATTTATACATATATCTCAGCTTTCTTAAAATAAAAGGAATAAAAGATGAATAAATAAAGATGAAACTTAATTTTTAGATTTGTATTTAAGATTTTTTTGATTAAGAAAAAAATAATACACGTGGACAAGTTTTTAAATAACCATAATAACTAAAGTAAATTCGAAATTAAAAAATAATTATTGTCATAATTTTCATAATTTTCATAAGTGAAATTTTCATAAATAAAAAGGGAAAGCCATATGTGTTGAACGTGATAAAGAAATAAAAATATATTTTTTGATTATATAATAAATATAATAGTGAGAATACACTTCTATATATATATACATATATATGTATATATTTATATATAAATATTTTATGTTCTTTCATACGTACAGCACGGTTTAATTAATAATAAAGAAACTATTGTAGATTTTTCTTTGGATGTCAGCAAATCATTTGACATTATAAATCTACACGCGGCCTCCCAATCTTGTTGGTTTTGACCTATATTGGCGACTGTACATGCTTCCCTTACCTATAAAAATTATAAAATTTAAGTCAAAATCTCGTCAAAGAAAGAATAAAAAGTAAAAGTAAAAAAAGCTGATGAAAAAAAAAATAATAATTACAGCAAGAGCAACTATACGGGCACGATTATTATCTTGTTCCGCTATCCCTTTTGCTTGAAAGTCATCTGTGACTTCAATATTATTATTTATTCTAGACATATTTTTTGTGGAGTTATTAATTGTTTAGGATAAGAGATGAAGAATTAAAAAAAATTCATATATAACGAGAATATATGAATAATTGGGAAGGAAGAATAAATAATATTAAAAAAGAATGATGATTTTTTATTAAAAAAGATAATGAAAAGAGTCAACAATTGGAAAAAAAAAGATAATTTTTGAAGATAAATCAACTTAATCATTTAACGAAATCTTCTTTAGAAAAAATCAATGCATAATATTGAAAATGATGATCAGATAGCCTAGATTGATCTAGACCCTTCATTACTGCATCAACAATTGTTTATAGAATACTGAGTTTGGGCACGCATCATTTTTTTTTTTTCATTTTTTTTTTTTTTTATCAAAGATTAAAATAAATTTTCTTCAAGTTAAAAAATAATTATTTATATTGATTTCGATGAATAATTACCTCAATGATTATTTTCTTTACCGTCTATTGACAAACAAATTTTAGGCTTCAATTTATGAATGAGCTGTTTATTGTCACCAGATTTGGTAGGGATATAAGGATCGTATTTTTGTATTCCTTGTTTGTTAACAGAATGATTGTATTTTAAGATAATCTTGGAAAGTCTGGACAAGGTCCAGACCTTTAAAGACTTACGCGTATTACCTATTTTATTCAACAATATCTTTTATTATTTTTTAATTGAATTATTTCTAATATTTTTTTAAACATTTCTTGGTTGTATATATTTTAATAAATATTTAGTCTTCAAGTGTTAAATTGACATTAACGCGTATTTCAAATAATATTCTTATTACGCGAACCCCCAATTTATTATGTAATAATAACATAATAGTAAATACATAATTCTAAATATTTATAGATAAATTCTTTTCACGGCATTAAACGCCATGATCCAACAATGAAAATGTTAAAAAATTTGGCTACTGCACATATAACAATTTGCAATAAATTGGAATTGTATTTTAAATTTTGTGGCGGCATGTCATTGTTAACAACATTTCCCACAGATAATACAGATGATCAATTCTTTATAAGGTGCAAAAAAAAAGAGATAATTCATTTTTTTGGGGGGTTTCAGTGAGGTATAAACTTCTATTTTAATAAAGAAAAGAATCGAAGATATTATGCATCACATGCCACAAAGTACGATAAGTCTGAACCAACTGCCTGGTAGCAAAAGCCCGTTATGTAACCACAATATATATATATATATCAAAATCATACGATTTGATTTTTTTTTATTACCTCAAAAAAAAAAAGGCACCTAAAAATGTTAGTGTTACTTTGTCAAAACGAATTCTTTATTACAAAACGGTGTGATATGTTACTTTTTTCTTGTTACTATGCATGGTGGATAAAGAAAGATATGAATTATCTTATTATAGATAATAACAATAACATCAACAATAATAATAATAATCATCGAAATTAATAATAATAATATCAACTTCTAATTATGATAATTATTAAAAGACAATCTCAGATTTTAGACCAATAATTTTTATTAAATTTCTTTGATGACTTTAAAAAGAATTTGGTAACTTTCTTTTTATACTAAAATTAGAATTTCATTTAAATTTCTTTGTATTACAAATAATCGTACGATGTTGACTTAAAAAAAGAAATGTAGAATGTCAAAATACTATAACTACTTGAGACAAATTGTAAAAAGTTTGTAAAAATTTGTTTCAACTTTTTAACGAAAAAAAAAAAAAAAGTCCTGGTGACTACTTAAACGAAGAAAAAAAAGAAAATCAAAAAAGTCCTAGTGACTACTAAAAATCAGAAACCATAAAATACTTTCGTACAAAATCATTATTTCCTTTTTTTTAATTTAACGAAATTTAAACGAACCATTCTTCGGCCGGAACCGAACCTTCGACTTAAAAAATGAAGACCTCTAACAAAATTTTCATCATTTTCATAATTGTAATTTTCATGAATGTAATTCAAACCACCAACGCTTTACCAATCGGCTATTCTAATAAAGAGAAGAGAGATGGTCCTCTTGATTTATTTTCTAATTTAGATATTGCTTACGCTGAGGAAAATGATATGTTGATGTAAATTTATTTTATTTTTATTTATTTATTTATTTTCATGTTTATTATTGTTGTCGGAGGAAAAGAAATTAATGATATGGTTTTATTATAAAAGTAGAATCTGTTACACACGAATTTCAAAAAAAAAAAACATGTAAAAAAAATGTATAATAAAATTTATTAAATTAAATTGTATAATAAGAAGTTCATTCTGCATTTATTTTCTTTTTTAATAATTATCAGATAAATCAGATAAGATAATTTACTTTAGCTTCTTTTGGTATTAATAAATAAAAAGACTTCTATTATTTGATTTTTTTTTCTATTACATCAAACTTTTTTTTTTTTTTTTGTCATGAAAATTCACATGGGAAAGGCAATCTTTTTTTTTTTTTTAATTTAAAAATAAATTTTCACGATTGTCCCCCCTTCCTCCCTTTTCTTCCCGTATTCTCCGATCCTCTTCTCGCCAGTCATTTTTTCACTCACTCTTTACTCTTCTTTTTCTATAATTCTATAAATGAATATTTAAATGAATATCTCATATATTCAAAGAGCAAATTTTGCTACTGCATCAAGACTTTTAAAATGTGCTATTAATGAAGGATTGGTTTACGCTACTTATCATCATTTAGAGAATAATATAACGGGAGTTTCGGGAGTGATTTATGTACTACCTAAAAGTAAATCAATATATAATAACAAAGAAAATAATAATAAAGAAAATAATAATAAAAATAATAATAATAAAAATAATAATAATAATAACGGTATTATTAATGATAATAATGAAAATGATTGTGTTATTTTTGTTTTCACACAACATCGACCTATTACCACGAAAGAAAAGAATTTCAAAAATGGTAAGGAAGGAGAAGAAGGAATAATCGAAAGGGTGACATCTGTAGACCCTTGGGATATGATAAAACCTATTCGTATTATTACTTTAAAAGAAGAAGTAGAAGAAGATATATTAGAATTATTATTAAGGAGAGGAATAGAAGGAATAGATAGATTAATAATAGAAGAAAGAATGATGTTACCTTGTCTTGAATCTTCGAATGTGATCAGAGAAATCGGAGCATCTGAATTAATGAAAATTTTAGGAAAGTGGTTGAAATTAAATGATAATATTTTGAATATGATTTGTGAAGAACTTGAAAGTTCTGTTAAATATCAAGGTATTTTAAAATTTTATATATCTAATCTATTTTATTGTATTTATTATATATATATATATATATATTTATTTATTTATCATATTTATTTTATTGTTCGTTGTATAGAATATACATATAAATATCCACATCCTTTACCTACCATAAATTCATCTAGTATAGAATGGGAACAAAGCATAATAGAAGGTCATCCTACTCACCCGGTAATTTGAATTTATTTTTATATTTTATTTTATATATATATATATATGTATATGTATATATATATATTTTACAAATTTCAATTAATCTTCTTTTAAAGATGCATAAATCACGAAAAGCTGTCAAACCAATTCCAGAAATATTACCTGGAACTTATGATTTCGAAACACCAACAATTCGATTTGTTAAAATTTCTCAAGAAAAAGTGATGATACGAGGACCTATTAATGAAATATTATTAAAACTTATAAATATCATATCACCTAAACCTTTCTGTTCACCTAATTATATTTTAATACCTGTACATGAATTACAATTACCAAATATTATTAAAAATTTTCCTTATGTTGAAATATTATCATCAAAATATTCTTTAAAATCAATAAGTCAAGCATCACTTAGAACAGTTTTATTTACTCAACTTCCAGAATATGCATTTAAATTATCTTTAGGTATTAAAGTTACATCCGCATTACGTACGATTACACCTTGGTCAACACATATTGGAACTGAACTTGTTCCTATTTTTGAAAAAATGAATATTGATAAAAATATTTTACATATAGCAAATGAAATTGCTAGTATAGTTTCAAATGAAAGGGATTATAATATAGCAAAACATTTAAGTTGTATTGTAAGATATAATATAAATGATCAAAATTCTAAAGGTGAAAGAATTATAATTTGTGCAGCTTTGACGGAAAGAGATGAAAGTGGAAAAAGTTTTGTAGAAAGAATTTGGAATTTGAATACTGAAAAGGAACGAATTGATTTTTTTGAGAGGTAAAAAAATAATTTATTTATTTACAAAATATTAAATATATAAAATATATAATATATATAAAATATATAATATATATAAAATATATAATATATATAAAATATATAATATATATATATATATATATATATATATATATAAAATAAAATAATAAATAATACATAATACATAAAATGTATTAGATATGCGTTTCTATTATTTAAAGCATTCTTGCCACCAGCATTAGATAATGGGTTTTCATTTGAAGCCCATCCACAAAATGTACTTGCAAGATTTAATGACACTAAATTAAATGGATTTGTAATTCGAGATTTTGGTGGAGTGAGATTTCATCAAGAAACATTACGGAAAAGTATAGGACAAAGAATCAATGTGTTAGAAGGTAGTGCAACTCAAGCTAAAAATTTGATTGAGGTATATTTTTTTTTATTTTTATTTTTATTTATTTTTATTTTATTTTTAATTGTGTAGCAAGATGATACCTATATTTATTATATTTATTATATTATATTTATTATATTTATTATATTTTATTATATTTATTATATTAGGTATACGATAAATTATATCATACATTAATTACATGTCATGTGCATCGCATAATTCGTTCTTTAAATCTTCATTATTCTGGAATTGGATGGAAAATTGTTCGTAAACATCTGAAAAATATTATTCCCCAAGAACATTTATTATGGAATTTTTGGTTGAAGCAAGAACTTGTTGATGGAAAATGTTTTTTGAGAATGAAATATGAAGGATTGTATAGAGATGTAATTATTATTGATATTTTTTTATTAATATTTTTAATATTTTTAATATTTATTTATTAATTTCTATCTCTTTACCTTATACTTATTACCTCTTTTTTTACACCACTATCTTTATACCTTTATAGTATATTCATCAACCAAATCCAAATTTGATTCTTTATAAATCGGAAGATGAAGGAGTCACGTTGGATTCTTTATAAATTTCTCGTTATTTTTGTGATTGTCTCCCTTTTTTTATATAAATTTATTTATTCAGCAATTATTTAAATCCTTTTGTATGCATTAAAAAATGGAGAAATTATTTATCTATTTTTTTTTTTGAGGGATTATCGTATTTCAAATTCAGTAACTCAAATAAAAATTATTTTATCTATTTTTTTTTTTTTTTCGTATTCCAAATTCAGTAACTCAAATAAAAGATTCCGGGTTTTTCTTGTTTCCGTGTTCAATTTCAATAACTCTGATGACATAATTTCATGTAAATGCATGAGTAAATGTAAAAGTGATCGATTAATAATTACCAATATAGATACCACGTTCTGGTCGTTTATCTTTTATGACGTATTTTAAATTATTTTTGTAAGATTAGTAATAAGGTGATAAGGTGAATAGAAGTATTGTCATACGATAAATTGCCTTTAACTTTTGTCAATCATTTACCTATTTTTGGGTATTAAAGATATGTATATAATTTATTTCTTTACCATTCACATTTCTTTCGCTTATTTTTACTAAAACATTTTATCCCTTCTTACTGCATTAGTTTATATGGTTTATCATAGTTTATTAATTTATGCAGCAGTTCTTTATGAATTTTCTAGAAACTTCAAATCATTCTTTTTTTTATAATCTATAGAGATTTTTTTTGTTTTTTTTTCCAAATTAAAAACTTGTTAAATATGTAAATGTAAATATAAATTGTGTATTCTTTTCTTATAACATTATAACATTGGTTATTTATATTCTATTTAATAATCTAATTTATGTTCTACTTAATATTCTATTTATTCCATTTAATATTCTCTTCTTTTATGTAACCATTCTTTTTTATGATATGCATTTTAAATAATATTTTCTATACAATTTTTATAAACGATAACTTCTGCGGTAAATTTCATTTATTTATAATATAATATATTTTAATATCTGATACATGAAATATACAGTATTATTACTCATTTATTGTATACGAAACGCGCGGGAGTATTTGATGATCGATAATTCCAAATACAGTAAAAGGCATTTAGAAATAATATAAAAATATATATTTTATTTTATTTATTTTAATTCATAATTTTCAAGAAAAGTACAATTAAACTAACGTATCACGTTCATTTTTTTCTAAAATAAAAATAATCTATTTTATATGTTTTACACTTATACATTTATCTAATGTTTGTATTTTATATGTATTTTATATGTATTTTATATTTATTTTATATGTATTTTATATTTATTGATTTATTTATTTATTGCTTTGGCAAATAATTTTCATCATTAAAGCCATAAACATTATTAACATAATTTTCATAATTATCATAATTGTTATCGTAATTTTCATAATTATCATCATAATTATTATCAAAAATTATGGGAGAATTTTCAAATATTATAGGAGAAAAAGGAATGGGAAGAGGAGATTGTATAAAATTCAATTGAAATAATTCATCAGGACACGTGCATTCGGCGATATTTATATTACAAAACTTACAATTATTATTATTATCGTTATTATTATTATTGTTGTTGTTGTTGTTGTCAATAATAGGTGAATTTAAGATTGAATTTATTGAATTCTCATGATTTATTGAATTTATTGGATTTATTGGCATATTTAAGAATTCAGGAATAAATCCATTATTTTCAAAATTAATATTTGTATCTGGAAAGTATGGATCTTGAAAATTTATATTCTCGGAATCAATTGAATTAATTATAAAATCGTTAGAACATGGAGAATATGGGGAAGAAGAAGAAGAGGAGGAAGAAGAAGGAAGTCGTTGAATTTGTTGTTGATATTGTTGATATTGTGGTGATGGTGGTGGCTGCTTTTGTTGTGCTATAAATGCTTGAGCTCTTTGATTATATACTTCCTTTAAATTTTTAGCATATTCTTGAAATTGAATTTTAACATGTTCAGGTTCTTCTTTCCAAGCTTTTGATGCCCAATTAGAAGCATCAGTCATTTTATAATGTAATTGTTGTTTTAATAAAGTTTTCACATAAATTTTACGATAAATCATGAATGCATTCGAAGTTTTGCATCCAACCCTTTTTCGTGGTAAAAATTCTAAAATATCAAACTCAAAAGGTGATGGAATAATGATAAAAGGACGATGATCTTTAGTCGAGAAAGTTGCCATTTTTTTTTTTTCACAGATCAAATTTTAAAATTTTTTAAAAGTTTTGTTTTGTTTGTTCCCTTTTTAATTTTGGGAAGAAATATATATTTTTTTATTTTCGTTTCTGTTTGAAATTCGAGTGAGTATTTATTAATTTTTGGGGGCTCAGCGGATTTCTTAGATTTCTTGTACTACATAGAAAAATAAGGAAGAATGTGAATAAATTATTCGCCGTAGTTATTCTGTTAAACAAATAAGTGACTACGTGACTACGGCGAAAGAACTCCTGCGGAAATTATTAAATAATTTTAGGATAGGACCATACCACGTATCCGAATTTAATATTTAATTTATTACTAAGCATTTCTCCAACTAATTATTGAGTCTGGTTCTTGGTAACACAAATTGTCATAGTGATTTATTAATTGCGGCTTCTCATTTACATTATGATATTATCATTCGTATACAAACACCAAAATTAGGAAGTTTGAAATGAGCCACACGTTACACTTTATTTCAAATCCCATATTCTCAACGCTCGTGATAATTACAATAATGAAATTACGAAAGATTTCACCTTTGGTAGACTAATAAGGAAAAGTTTCCAATTCTTTGAAGAAGGAATGAATGGAAAAAAAAATTTCAATTGAATTGTTTCGAAAGACATTATTAAAAAATGTGATAAAAACGGAAAATATAAATTTTATATGATGTAAGTAATCTATTGCACATTATACAATTTTTATGATACATTATGACACATTTAAATGTATTGTATACATGCGTAAGACGTATTATCTATTCTTAAGAATTTCTTATTTTTATGCTGCGTGAATTCTTTTTTTAGAATTCCTTGGTGATAAAGTAAAATTAATAATTTAAAAAGAGTTAATAATATTTATTATATTTATGATGACAAAGAAAGAAATAATTATAGAAAAAAAAACCAAGAAGCCAAGCATTTTCAATCTACAATTTAATCTTACATTTTCTACATATAATAATGGTAATGATATGAGAAAACCTAAAAAAGTAAACAAGATTAACAAATTAGTTAATCATTTGTACAAATCTATATGAAGTTGATCTTTGCTAATTATTATATGAATAAATTAAAAGAACAATTTAAAGAATAATTGATTTAAAGAATGATTTAGTTCAAAAGAATAAATCCTTTCTTTCTTCCTTTCTTTCATTTTTCTTTCTTTCTTTCCTGGCTGTTTTTACTTTAATGATAAATTTTCTTTTTAGAATATTATTTCTTTGTTAAACGTAATCATATAAATCATATACAACCAATGAGTTTGAAAATTTAATGTCTTTTTTTGGTAAGAAGAATGTATTTAAGAATTACTTCATTTGATAAAAAATACTGAAATTTACTATGAATTAATTATTATGATTAGTCTAATAATCTAATGACCTAAACTAAATAAGAAATGTAATTTAATATAAACCAATTTTGAGGGTAGGCACATTTATCGTGCCATGTGGCTCATTAGTATATCAATAGGAATTTTTTTTTAATTGCCATGTCTAATTAAAACATAATAGGAAAATGAATCCCATTTATTAAAATTAGTCATTCGATTAAACCACATGACATTATAAATTATTTATTGGATCATCATTGATTGATTGGCAATTAAATATTTAACTTAGTGTTCCTTAAAATAGACCCGAGTCGAGACTTTTATCCTAGACAAATCTATATAAATAAGGATAAATTTATCCTAGACCCGAGGGCCTACACTCTTAACCTAGATCGCAATTGAAGTGTTAGCTACTTAAAAAAATTATTTATATAGGGCGTCTAGGATAAAAGTCTAGACCCGGAGGACATCTTTTTTAAAAGTAGCTAACATGTGATAAATACAATTGTAACCTATATTAAAAGCGTAGACTCCAGGTTTAGGATAAATTTATCTTTTAACTTATAAGACTTATGATCACACATCATATGTTTTTATATTGTCGTTCTTTAATTTATGACTGTCTGCACCTATAAGTAAATGTGACATTAAAAAATTTGATGATCAATTTAATTAGGTCGGTATTCGCCACAATGTTTATGACCGATTGAAAATCTTTTGTACATATTCTTTTAAATTTTAAAAACACAAGAAAATTTCTTAAAATTAGATAAATTTTATAGGTTTATTATAAAATAAGAAATATGTCGTTATGTTAAATGACATGGGTTAAAGTTAGGGTTTTCAATGGTGATGTATTTATCACACCTTTTGAATATTAAATATTCTGGAGACAAAATACAGAAACCATATTTATCATCCTATATTTGTCACCTAAAATATGTTACATGAATTTTCACATGAAATTAACTAAGATCCTATATATACTTGTTTTCATTGTACTCATACAAGTAGTACAATCTGTATCATATGATTTTTATGGATTCTAATTGGTTAATAATTCATAATCACATGAGTTATTGCTATTGATTGGCTGTATAAAACTGTTTTAAGTAAAATGGTATATGACTACAACCCTGTTCAATTGTACTTGAATTTAATGAATTATAATCTTATTGATATTTTTATCTATTATAATATCAATATTTTTATCTATTATTCCATAAATTATTAGTTTTTACATGGTCACAGAAAAATTTTTTTAATATATATTTATAAAGTAATTTTGAATTGATTTTTTTTTTTAAAAAAAGAAAGTACAGTATATATTACTATAGGTACCATCCAAATTCAAAATGCTAAATCCCAAATCCCAAATTATGCCAAATTTCAAATTCAAAATACTATAAAAACTGAATTTTGGCAGCTGAAATGTTAAAATAATTTGAAATACCAAAATAATTTGAGATTTGAATTGTCAAAATAATTTAAGATTTGAATAACATGTATATATATTACTTGTCTTGTATATTGCCAGTTGTTCAGAAATTATTTCTGAAATCAAATTTGATAACAATAATAAAAACAACAATTTGTAAATAAATAATTTAAAATAAGATTGGCAGGAACAAAATAAAGTTTAAATAATATTTTAGAGCTAAGAAGAATTAATAAAACAAATAGAAATAATATTTCTTATAATTTTTTTATTTTCAATTGTAAAAATATGTAGTTGAATAATAACAGGTTTGTAAAGAATGATAATAATAATTAGAAGAAACCAGAGAATACAAAATAAAACCATAATACTTTATCTTTGAAAAAGTTTATTCAATAAGAGGAATATAATCAATAATTATATAATATTGATTTTAACAAAAAATTTTTACCTTTGGTAATGTATATAATGTTATTGAAAACAGTTCTTATATAATTTTAAAAATAACATTTTATCAAAAATTTTTAATTATAAAAAAAATGGCTATAAAAATTTGGCTAAATTAAGTTAAGACCAACTTATTAAGTTTACCTTTGTACTATGCTTCAAGCTCTAAAAGTCACTTTTGAAATCTACTTTCAATTGTTTTTTTTTACTACCTGTTCAACTACATGAAATATAATATTCTTCATATTTTCTAACATAAATATCAAGAGGAATACTAGAATTATATTGTTTATAAAATTCAATTCATTTAGTATACCATTGATTAAATTATTCTTAAGTTTGAGTATTTTTCACTTTACATTAAGTTAAATTTAAAAATTTATTATTATTTGAAGTATCATTATTTTGATAAACTGCTTTAGGCAAGTCATGTATCCAATGGTTCCCTTTTTCTAAAATTTCTCCAAAGTCTTTGTATAATCCTTGCATATTCAAAATTGGTTAGTGGTTTCGAGCATTTATAATCATAATAGTTTTTCATCAAATCAAATTGATTTACACTTGGATCTAAATTAACATTGACATACATAAGTTTCATATAACAAAAATATATTGCAGTATCATCTTCATATGGTTTACCTTTGTTATGATTATATTTATCAAAATTTGCACCTTGAACATGTGAAGTATGAGGGCAATAAATTAAATAAAAAAAAATCTTATATGAAAATCATTTACAAATGAAAAAAATATCTTTAAATGCTACTTGTGAAATTATTATAAAAAAAGGTGGGTTATGCCTTTCAACTGAGTATATTAATGATAAATCCCATTTGCAATGGAAATGTATTAAGGATCATGAATGGGAAATGACACTTAGTAATATAAAATATCATAATACATGGTGTCCATATTGTGTAGATAAAATTCATCAAACTCTTAAAATTGCTAAAATAATTGCAATTAATAAAAGCAGAGAATGTATTTTAAATAAATATATTAAAAGTAAATCCCATTTGTGATGGAAATATATTAAGGGTCGTGAATGGAATGCAACACTTAATAATATAAAATATCAAAATACATGGTATCCATATTGTACAGGTCAAGCTAAAAATATTCTTGATATTACTAAAATGATCATAATCAATAAAGGTGAAAAGTTTATTTCAAATGAATATATTAATGGTTCATCTCATTTAAGATGAAAATGTGCCAAAGGTTATGAATGGAGTGCAACACTTCAAAATGTAAAAAATAAAGTTTCGCGGTGTGCCATATGTGTTAGATGAAATCGAACTATTGAGTATATGCAACATTTGCATGGAAACAAAATAGGAACTGTCTTTTGAATAGTTATAAAGATACACATTCTAAATTAATATGGAATTGTTCTAAAGGACATGTATGAAAGTTACATTGGCTAATATAAAATATCATGGCTTGTAGTGTCCCTATTATACAAGATACAAACGTGAAAAATTATGTTGTGAAATTGTATTAAAATATCTTGGTGCCTCTTTGCCAATTCGCAAACCTGATTTCTTAAAAACTCTGAAATATTCAAATGGATTAGAACTTGATATTTATTATCTAGAATATGGTTTTGCAATCGAAGTGCAGGAAGAACAACATGAAAAATATAATGAATTCTTTTATAAAGGAAATCCCAATAATCTTATCAAACAGTAGACACAGATCAACTCAAAAAAGAATTGTGCAAAGAAACTGAATTGTTTTAAGGCATGTTTGGTATTACGAAG